CCGATTGGAAGTTGAGTGTCTCCAAACTTCCGGAAGTAGCAAGAACTGATCATGCACAGCAGCGATGCTACCCTGAAAAGGGCTCTAAACACAGTCTTCCATGTGTCACAGATGTGGTGATCTTGAGGTTGGACCGCATGCCTTCGGGAACCAAGCAGCTGCAGATGCTTTGGAACTTCCACAACACGCCGAGCCCGAACGCGTGCCTGAATTGATCCTGCTGGTACTCCGGGCAAGACCATTCGGCGTGCATCGGCAGCAGATGCCGGCCTGCCACTAGCCGGTGGGTGGATGCTTCAGCAGATCAGCATTTGTCCGAGGGAGGTCTTGAGCGCTGCGTGCGCTGCACTTGGGCACTTGCACTTGCACCATGCTTCTGCGACACCGAAGAGTTAGACACATCGGTGACACGCGGGCAGCAAACATAGCAAACAAGCACCCAGAGCCGAGGGGCAATTCCCAAGTTGTACTGTGTTCTTCCAAACTGCGGCCATTAGGCTCATTAGACCAGCTGGGTGAGTGCAGAAGGGTCAGAGCATGTTCTGTACAATATGTGTCTGGCTACATGACCACTCTCGCCTGCTTCAGGGCTGCATCGAGTTCGTATCAGCGCATGCGATTCTCAAGCGGGCTTTCTAGGTCAAGCAGACGCTGCTTACAAGCCAGGATTCGGATTTGCAACCCCCCGTGTAGCGTCCCCTCCTCAGACGATGGCCACCAATGCAGAAATGCAGCTGCTCAGCAGGTGCAGCTTTTCAGGTCAGATCTCAGGCGAGACAACCCACGAAAAGTCGAGTTTGTATGCAGCCCTGAGGGACAGGCCTTGAGCTTCAGAGTTCCGGAAAGCAGGTGCTTGCCGGCCCGATTGGAAGTTGAGTGTCTCCAAACTTCCGGAAGTAGCAAGAACTGATCATGCACAGCAGCGATGCTACCCTGAAAAGGGCTCTAAACACAGTCTTCCATGTGTCACAGATGTGGTGATCTTGAGGTTGGACCGCATGCCGTCGGGAACCAAGCAGCTGCAGATGCTTTGGAACTTCCACAACACGCCGAGCCCGAACGCGTGCCTGAATTGATCCTGCTGGTACTCCGGGCAAGACCATTCGGCGTGCATCGGCAGCAGATGCCGGCCTGCCACTAGCCGGTGGGCGGATGCTTCATCCGAGGAAGGTCTTGAGCACTGCTTGTGCGGCGCTAAGGCAGATGCACCTGCACCATATGCTTCTGCGACTCCGCAGTATTTATTTCAGTGTTCTGGTAGTCGCGTGCAGCTTGCTGTCCTGGGAAGCTGTGCATCTCTTTCCGGAGACAGCAAGCACTGGTCATGAGGAATGGGACATACTGCGCCTATCTGCACATTGGGATTGGCCCTGAGCTCAGGGGGCGCGAGTGTCGGACTTTGCTTTGTTGGTACACGATGCCGCAACCGAAAACGTAAAAACGCTTTGCCCTGAATGGCCGAGAGGTTTGCCTTCATGGCTCTGTCGTGTCATCTTGGGAAGGCGAAGAATCTCCCAAAAGCTCCGGTTCTGCTGGGGAACTGGGGGAATTATAGATGGGAAACCAGGCCGCCAGGGTCCATTTACACTCTGGGCTTCAGTGTGCCCAAGAGCTACACTGAGCCACCTGCCACAATAGTACTCACTATAGTACTACAGGGTGGATCATGTCCGGGGCGATGTGAAGCCTGGTGACTGAGTTGCTAGGAACTGAAAAATCCCCCCCGCCCCCCCAAAGGGACCTCAGGTGACAGCTCCGCTCTAATGTAACTAGGGCTTCTGCGAAGAGGCCTGAAGCGTAATTAAACCCCCAAGCCCTGAAGCCCGAAGCGCATAGGTCCCCGACTCCCTTAGAAACAAGATCTGCCACAGAAGCACAAGCGGTTGTGACGACAAGTGAGACTCTTGCCCCTTACGCTTTCAGCTCCCCTTGGAAAACTGCGACTCAAACTGGTCACATGAGTAGATCAAAATTATGGACAGTTTTTGGCACCCTTAACCTTTAAGGAATATACGATAACAAGGACCACCAAAGGGCCCCTAATTTTGACCCACCCTGCAAATAAGACTCTGGGGGCTTCTAAGCGCCATGCTTCGAATACCATTCCACAAGCTCGGACGGGAGGCGCCAATCCCGACGTCAAACAAAACAATCTCTGGGGGTTTAGGGTTTAGGTGCGGGTTTAGGGTTCCCAACGTTCATGAAAAATCTCTGGGCCAGGGCCCAAGGGGGGAACTTGTTCGGGAGAAAGACGGAGAACTATCTGGTATAGACTCGGGCTATCTGGTCGTGTAGTTCCAGAGTCCCGGGAGCTTCTTGCCCTAAACCCTAAAACGGCCCTAAACCGTAATAGTTGTGCACCAGGGAAGGGTAAAGTCCACCAATGCCTGTGAGCCTAAACCCTGGAGATCTTGCCTCTTTCGTATGAAGACCTCGATGTGCCTCAGCGAACCGCTGAAGTGACGGAGAGAGCACCCTGAGCACCGTGAGCACCTGGATGGTGAGTTCTGGTAGGGAGTTTTGGTGGTGGAGCTTTTGGGGGTTACTGGCTTCACGAGCTTCGCTCCAAGCAGCTCCGAATTTATGGAAAAGTGCGCCCCCTAACATGCAAAGCGCAAATCCAAAAACGATTCACCAGACACTCCAGGGCACTGCCGGCATGAGATGGGATCGGGCATGGCGCAGTGATCTTCAAGTAACAACAGGGTTTAGGGTTTGAGGTAGGGTTTAGGGTTTAGGGTTTAGGGTTTAGGGTTTAGGGTTTAGGGTTTAGGGTTTAGGGTTTAGGGTTTAGGGTTTAGGGTTTAGGGTTTAGGGTTTAGGGTTTAGGGTTTAGGGTTTAGGGTTTAGGGTTTAGGGGGCGATGGCTGGGCTTTTTGGAGGTTTGTATTTGGGGGGCGGTCAGGCATGTCCAGTCCGTCTTGGAGTGGAACCGCCGCAGTGTGCTATTCCTCAAAACGCCCTCTGACCTACTGTTTGTTCTTCCCTCCAGACTGTATCTGTGACAAGCTCGAGCAGGCCGCGTGCGGCGATAATGTAGTCTGAGCTACTTCAGCCATATGGTTGCTTGTCGGAAGCTTAGGTCAAGTGTCGTAACATGCATCGAGCTCAATATGTAAGGCATAGCTGCAGAGAAACGCTCAAGGTCAGAAGACTCTGAGCTAGAAAATATACGCAGCAGTCCTTTCAATGAGAGGGGTATTTCCAAAGAAGACTTCCAAGAAACCCTCGAAGGCAGTGGTTGAGGATCAGATATATCTTCGAGGGGCGTATCCCACATTTACCGGAACCCTAAACAGCCGTCTTTCAGAAGGAGACACCACAAAAAGTGGCCCTATCCCCAAAACATCATGCCGGATAAGGGGTCCCCTTCTTGGAGATTCCTGTGCTCAGGATTATGTCGAGTTTTCGGCTATGTTCGTGAAATCCCTTTTTTAGGAAATGCCCGTTAAGGGTTCCTCTAGGACGCTTGTCGGCTTGTGCTTGGGTATAGGGCTTAGGATTTAGGGTTACGGTGTAGGGCGACATGAGGATGTGGCGATGCAAAGGTCAAGGAGCAAGGGCAACAGCAAGGCTCACATATACACTCTATGATGAACCCTAAGCCCCCTAAAACCTAAACCCATATACACATTATACACTTTTTTGCCGCTCGAGGGAGCTCTAGAAACATATGTCTCAAACTGCACACTGATCCCAAGCTCCCAAATGAATCAAGTACAGATTCTCCTTGGTTTAGGGGTTTGGTCTGGACTTCCAGGGAACACTTGCTCATTGTTTCGGCACTCGGGGCACTTGGGATCAATTTAAAGAATCGAAGGACATGAGTCTCTTCAATTGCCGAAGTTCAGAAAACATCGTGGACAAGTAAGACTCCAACCTTCACAGGCCACTGATGTGGAGACGATGCTCCAGGGAAGACAGGTCGACAAAGCTGCGCAGTAAGCGATGTATGACTTCAGAGTTTGGGGCGGTGTTTTTTCGGTGCCGTCCAGCTGCTTTGCAAAGCAAGTTACTTTCGGCCCTGAACATGCCTAAACAACACATGCCTCGGCAGCAGGCAAAGAGCCTTGTGGTGACAAGTTAAGTTCGCCGCGTGGGGCTTAGCGCAGCCTTGCAGACAGCATGGCGCTGCTTTAAAAGCCGCTACACGGACCGCTACACGGACCGTGGGTTTCATCAGTTTCATCCGAGCATCACTCTCTTCAATCGATGTCCCAAGCTCACACGGTTTAGGGTTTAGGGTCTAGGGTTTAGGGCACACTCCAACGTTTAGGTGGTTTTTGGGCTTCGGGGACCAGCTTCGAGCACCCAAACTGGAAGGACCGCAATGTCTCTTGCATCGATAGAATATCCATGAAGGACAGTTGCAGGTTGATTGGGTTACCGGGTTTAGGGTTTGGGGTTTGGGGTTTAGGTTACTGTCTATATAAGCATCTTATAAACAGAGTAGGGCTTAGCCTGCTACATGAAACTGCCCAAGAAAGAAGAATGAAGGTTCCCAGGAGCTGTCTCACATAAATGGAGGCGCCATAGGCCCATGAGATTGGAATCCATATACGGAGGTGATAGTTGAACCCCCTAAACCCTAATACCCTAAACCCTAAAGAATCAAAATGAAGGAAGCTCGAACGAAACCTTCATGGACATAAGATGGGTCTGCAAGTGCTGGTCCCTGCAGGGGTTCATACTAGTGAATACAGCCGTGAATACAGTTCAGGGTTTAGGGTCCAGGTTTCAATATTTTCAGGGCACCCGAAAAGGGACCAAAGCTTGACAAATAGCGCTTTTGGTTTTGGAGATCACGCGGTGCCTAGATGCCTTGCATTTGGGTCCATGCGCGGGCCCGGCATCAGAAAGCACACCGCGGACCAGAAGGAGAACTGGAGATCCCAACGAGACAAACCACTCACATCAGAGTTTTTTGTTGGGACTGCTGGGAAGTACCCAAAAGGGACCATGATTTAGATAAACCCCCAGATAAACAAGACTGACAACGTCTACAACCATGTGGACTCTGTCTGTTGGTTCAAGGGATTGGGCGGTTGCCATCCTGGCTGCGACCCAGCTTCTGCTTCTTCGTCTGGCCGCTTCTCCTGCATTTATAGGGTTTAGGGTTTAGGGTTTAGGGATACAAACGCTGCATCTCAGCGAGCAGCCACATGTCGAGAAGCTAAGTTCAGAAACAAAAACTTTCGGCGCTGGGCCACTCGAGAGTCAGACCTCAACAGCTAGTACGAAGCCCCAAAAACCCCATAAATTTAGGGCTCAGGGTTTAGGGATAAACCTCATAAACCCTACCCTAAGCCCCCCAAACACGCAATAAACCGTAAGCTTAGGCCTGTTCCAGTTCCGCCTCCTTCTTCGCCGCGTTCTCTTCCAACATCTGCACCTTCAGCCCGAAGGTAAACAAGGGGCGTAGGGGCTTAGGATTTGTAAGGTCCAGGCGTTTAGGGTGTAGGGCTTAGGAGGCTTAGGGCTTGGGGGTTTAGGATCCAATGGTTTAGTGATTCATCACTCCCGAAGAAATTCAAAAAAAAGATATCGCCCCAACACACTCGAATGTTGTCTCTTAGGTCCCTAGTTGGGGTGGTGTGGTGGTGGGGGGGGAGGGTTGGTTGCATCCAGCCAGCATTGATTCTGCCATTGATTCTGCTGGGTCCGCCCTCAAGCTGTCTTTTTCTCACGGCTAGCGATCCACTCATTTAATTGACACTAGCACGGGATATATTTAATTTAGGAATTCTTCTTCACTCGGTCAGCACGTTCTGCGCGTCTCTGCTCCTTCAACACCAGCCTTCTTTGGTGATGTTCTTCTTTAAGCCGCTCCACACTATACAAGTATGGAGTCATTGGTTCCTGGTCCAAACCCACTTCCCTACCATCAGCAGAAAACCCGTCAGTGGAAGGTCCAGCACCATGCCGAACAGGATTGGAAGATGATGCAACAGACATACTTGCAGGTCCACCTGCCGACTTACACAGAGTGTCTTTTTTGTGGTAGTTCTCGTTCTACTCATATCAGGGACTATCAGGGGAGAATCTTGGCTGCGCATCGTACAAATCTAGCCCGCAACCCTAAACCCTAAAACTATTTTTGGTTGTTGCGGACAAAGACATGCCTTTGCGAGGTTTCTTTGGGTTGAGAAAATATTCTCACCCAAGAGTCTAAGGGTTTTCCTGGCCCTAGGCAGAAAGGCTTGGGAGCCTGGATCGAAGAATCGACTGAGCTCCGTGGGGTGAAACCGAGCAGAGCTGAGGCGAGGTCCTTCGATACCGAGGAGGTAGACAACATCCTTTTCGGTCACATGCAAATCCCACACACCTATACAAGTCTCACATGAGCCCGCAACCCTAAACCGCTATACCTATGCAATTCTCACATGAACTACCCAAACTACACGGAATTAAAACAGGCCCCCTACACGACCTTCCCTCAGGTGGGCTTCGAGGCTTTCAGATACCACCAGGGTTTAGGGTTTAGGGTGAGGGATCCATATTCCCTTCGTTGACCTTGCCGGTGGGTGACAGGTCCAACTTCAAGAAAAAGTACGACAGACGAGAGTGCACGAACCCTTTTTTCACGATTTCTTCGCAAGGGACCGCTGACCTTATTGCCCGGCGCATCCCCACTCTACCCTAAAATCTCTAGACCGACTCGAAACCCGAAATCCAGAAAGATCTCGTTGACCAAGCCTTTTGTCACCGCGCATCGGCTTGAGTTTGTTTAAGGTTGAGGCAGGTCATGCCCTATGTATCATACCCTACTCTGAAAACGGCTTGTGCTTGCGACCATGTCGAAACAAAACAAGCCCCCCCCACAAGCATTAGGAGCGGCTGCTTGTGTGCGCTGATTTTTTGGCACGTTAAGACACTGGCCAGTGGGCCGCCGTCTATGTTTTCTATGTGTGTTGCGGCGCTTCCTTCCAGGCCCCTTCGCAGATGGCACAAGGGAAGCCCGGGAATAGGCAAAGCCCTAAACGTCAGCTTTTTGCTGGGCCCTGATGAAGGAACTTAAAACCAAGTTTCCATACTATAGAACAAATAATTTTGTAGCCTCACTGTGGTAACTAAGTCTACCCTAAACCCTAAACCTGTGCAAGAACCCAGTTGAACACCTAATCAAAAATCACCCTTAGCCCTCTGATGAAATCGCCGAGCTGCTGCGAACGCCTCGACATAATTAAGCCCGCCTCACCCACCTTCATTGGATCGGGTTTAGGGTTTAAGGGGTTTAGGGGTTTAGGGTTTAAGGTTTAGGGTGCTCCATTTCCTTTTCTACCACTTCCCGCTATCATTGCGACCAGGAACAACGAAAGTATTTCAGGAGACCTGGCGGTTCACACTAAAACGCACAAAAGACTCAAACTCACTAGGCCAAAGAACTAAAGTCATGTTATCTGAGGGGAGCTTTTAACGTAGAATCCCAATGTCAGGGGCAAACTCTGGTATAGGGTTCAGGTTTTGAATCCCTCTCCCACTCCCAGCATAAAAGTATGAACAACGGTCTTTCAACACCTAGGTTCAGTGTATAGGGTTTAATTAACTAACATGGCTTTTCTTCATGTGCCTTGGTTCAGGGGCACGGGAAGCGGTTACATACATACCTTTTGTTGAGGCCTCGCCTGTTCGACGCCACTTGAAGCGTTGACCATTTGCTGCAAGAAAACACGAAACTTGGTAGCCCAGCAACCGTATGTAAATAAGGGTGCCCTTTTTGGTGTTGGTTACGTTTATAAGGGAACACCAAACCCAAAAAGGGCAAAAGAGTACCACTCAGCTACCAAGGAAAGCTGCCTACGCAAGGCCGCCTGACAATATTGCATGCCCTGGTCCATTGCTCGCTCATCATAAACTCTTCGCCCCAAACCTTGAAACCCTGAATCCTAAACCCCAAACCCTAAACCAGAAACCCAACCTCGGTGCCCACAGCTGTGATGATCTGTGCCATCATGCGCAGGTCGTAGACGGAAAGATTCCTTGGGTACGTCTTCTTGAATTTTTGGTTATAGGGTTTGGGGTTGAGTTTGGGGGGCTTCTCTCGGAAAATCTTATACCCTGGCAGATGGGCAGGGTTTCCAGAATGATGGTTCCCGCTGACAAATTGTAGCTCCCCTTGAGGTTTAGGGTTTAGGATTGGACTTAGGGATTCAAGGGCCCTAGTTTTCGCAGGTTTAGGGTTTAGGGGTTTAGGAACCAGCCGACATGCTCAAGCCCAGCAGGTCTGAGATTTCGGGTTCCCATGCCTTTCATAAACAGGGTCTGAGGCATCATATGGCAGAATTGTACAAGCTATTATAAACCCTAAACCCGAAACCCTGGCAATTATTGATGCTCCTGCATCGCACGAACGCACTTCTTCGAAGTTACTCTAAACCCTAAACCCTAAACCCTAAACCCTAAACCCTAAACCCTAAACCCAAGCAGGGGTGCCCGGACCCCAGCCCAGGGAAATCTCAAGGGACTAAAGGAGGGACCTTATAAGGGGCCTTAGGGGCTACTTAGGCTTTTAGGGACTATCTAAGGTATATATATATATATGTAGATATATGGTTTAGGGTTTAGGGTTAAATATAGGGTATATAAGGGAATCGGAATAAGAGTAAGGGTTGATTCTAGGGATCCCTTATATCCCTTAAAACCCTAAGCCCCTTAAAACCCTAACCCGAAACCCTGAACGCAAAAACCCTAACCCTAAACCCAATTTGGGGAAACCCTGAAGCTCCAGAGCGGGGTTTCGCAGCGTGCCATTTCTCATGAACAGCAGGCGGGGAACTCAACAAAACGGTTTAGAGTTTAGGCTCTCATCCCCGCACAAGGCAGGCAAGGCAAGGCTTCGAGTTTGGGGTATACGGTTTAGGGCTTAAGCCTAGACCCAAAATCCCTAGATCCTAAACCCTAAACCCCGATCCGCAGAAAGGCTTTGTGGCGGACCCTCCTTCCAAGCTGTCCTATCTCTGCAAAGCTTCTCGAGCAACTTTGCAAAGTTCTTTTCTCCCGACTCCTGTCGCCCGGCAACTTCCGGGATTAGGGACACCGCCCCTTTTCCCTAAACCCTAAACCCTAGCCTGGGAGCCCAGGCCTAATTGGAGATGCATACCTTCAGTGATACAGGGGTTTGGGGTTTATAGGGTTTAGGATTTAGGGTGTGGGGATCACAGGGTTTAGGATCCGCCGACCCATGTTGGATGGGTTTGAGTCCCTCCTCTTACACCCCCAAGGGGGGGTAGAAGGAGTACCCCAGCAGCTTTTCCATGGAGGGCCAGGCCACCCACACCGCGTAAACTCACGGTTCAGCACAGGGGGTAGGGGCTCTTTTGCGAAAACCCCAGCTTGAGCCGGAGGCTCTTAAAGTCGGGCACGCCCGTGGTCCGACGCCGTTAGGCGCGAGCCCTGGCTTTAGCCACCACGGGGCGCGTCACAGGCCGCCGACCCGGCTTGGAACCCAACATCCGGCTCCAAACGCGGCTTCCGAAGGGCACCCTTTTTAAGGTACATTTTATAACAACGCGCGCCCCCACGAGGATCCCAAAAACGACCCCGGAGAGCATCATCGACCCTATTTTTTTAATTTTTGCTGAAAACGCATTGTTGATGGTTTTTGGGGTGGCGCCGGCCACCCCAAAGGACCCCAAACAGAGCGCGCATCATGAGCATCAGCGGATCGGGCCTCGGGTTTCGGATGTGGCTGGGAGCTTGGAAAACGCAGAAAATGCTGTAAATACCGTGGTTTTCGTGCTGTTATGGACATTTCCGTCTTGAAGCTGCCATATGTTCCCACAAGCCACCAATGCTTCGATACCAGAGCCGCTGATGCTCATGATGCGCGGCTGGGTGGGGGGCAAGGGTGCGCATCTTCGAGGCTTCGTCTCCTTGGGGGGATCCGGGGCACGAGCATGAGCAGCATCAGCGGTCAGCGGGGGGGGGGGGGTGGTTCAGGGCCACGGCAGGACCTCGTATGCCCGGGTCGGCCTGGGGCATGCCCAGCCTACCAAAGGCCTCTTCGGCTACCTCTTGATCTTTTAGCGGGAATTGTCCCAGGGATCTAAACATTTTTATTTTCATTAACCGAGCTCTCCAGAATTTACGAGTGTTGAAGCGCCTCCTGCTTATGAGACACGGGCACCCTCAACCCTTTAAACCCTCAAAACCCGACCCTTAAAGCCCTTTAAACCCTTTGAGCCCTTAAAACCCTTTAAAACCCAAAACCCAAACTGTAAAGGGTATCTCGGCTCTCCTTGGGGCCCTTGAAGCTTGAGGTCGCGTTGGCGACTGCCGACCCCAACCCCTACATAACCCGATCACCTATTGTTGCGAAGCAAAGGAAGTTTAGGGTCTAGGGTTTAGGGTTTAAGGTAAAGGAAGCCTTAAAGGGCTCATGGGCCATGAACCCCCCTAAACTCTAAACCCGTTTTTTGAGCTCGGAACTGAGGTTCACACCCGAGACCGCCGAGACCCCAAACACTGACCAGGCTTCTCGTGGTATAGGCATCATACGATCCCAATAGCTCACGCTGCACCGTCTGAGTCCAAATTATAGGCTCAACCCTCTCAAGCGTCATCCCAAGCAAGTTTTACGTGCGAACCCAAAGGGGTACCCGATGCCCCAAAATACGATAACTCTTGTTATGGTACCCCAACAAGGGTGCCCGAAACCGTACAAACCCTGGATGCTGTGTTGAAACTGGACTTGCTGACTTCTAGCTGCTGCTAGAGAATGCCTCGACAACCCCAAAACATAGCTGAGCTAAACCAGACCCCGTCCCAAAAGCTCAAAGGATTCTTATGTATCAGGAGCTTTTGGGCTCAGAGAATTGAAGGTTCAGGGTTTAGGGTTAGACCAGGCCAGTGTGGGATGTCCTGGACCTTCGTGGAGAGCATGAGGAACTTCTGGCTCAACATGTGTGGTTGCGGAGTCTTGCCTTAGGCATGGCATCATGGTGGCAAACATGAACTTGCAGCTCCGCTCTCCTACACAGCCATATTTTTTCTGAAACCCCAGGCCCTAAACCCTAAACCCGAACACCTTCTTGGGGGCCCGTAAAGGGCGGAGGTTTGGGGGAACCCTTTTGCAACGGGCTTTTGGGTCCGCCCGGTTGGGGAACCCTAAACCCGACTTCTCTTTGCCCGGCATTGGGCTTCAGACCTCTACACTTCCTGATGGGGAAGGAGGGCCTTGATCGCCAGAAGCAGAAAAAGAGGGTTTAGGGTTTAGGGAGAACATGTTTGGTGTGTAAGAGCTGTGCAACACCTTGTGCTTTTCGCAAATTTGTTGAAGACAAGCAGCCATGCTTGGTGTTTGTCTTTCTGAGTCAGCAGCGCATTGGCTGTTGTCTTGGCTTTGTCTTGGTGAGCCAGCAATGCCACTGGCTGTTGGTCTATTGGCATGTAGGGGTTTAGGGTTTAGGGTTTAGACAGGCAGCGAAACTCCCACAAAAGAGGTTCAGGGTTTAGGGTTCAATGTTTTAGGAACCCTACAACATACACCCTAAACCCCAAGAACCCCGAAGACCCTAAGCCCTAGACCCTTTAAATCCCTACAAAGCCCTTCAACCAAGGGGCCAAGCGCCAGTATCACGCTCTCCTGCGAGCCGCCCATGACGTTCAGACCTTGCGGTTTCGGGGCTGCTTTCGGCCGCCTGCCTTGATGACACTCAGGACGCGCTGCAGGGCAACACTACTGGAAAAGCCGCAAAAATGCTTTGAGGCGATTTAGGGTTCATGATTCAGGGCCCTCATTCTTGTTTCGGGTCTGGGGCTTAGATTCACAGGCGGGTGCACCATACACCCCAAACACTAAACTACTACCAGAACATACCAGAACCATAGTCTGAAGTTTCATCGGCCCCGCAGGGGCATGTGGACAATAGCTAGTGGTCATAGTAGCCTACGTAGGGGTTTAGGGTCGTCACAAATTCCTCAATCCACCCATCGCCCGCCAACCCCCGCATTCTTCTGGAACAAGCGGCGAATCAGCGCAGAGGCGGTGACACAGAGCATTGCAAACACCATGACCTGGTTGCATGCGGCTTCGGCCCTGAGGGGGAAGCCCAGATACCCCCCACCACCCTCAAACCCCAACCCTAAACCCCCTAAAGCCAAAACACTGGACCCTAAACCCGAAACCCCAATTTCACAGCTAGACCGCGTTGAGGAAGAAGATGATTCCGATGACCGCGTTCGTAAGCCTGCGGGCGCGCGGTGGTCCCTATGGGGGCTGTTGAAGAGGAATCATTCAGAAACAGCATCCCAAAGAGGACCCCTAACTTAGATGAACATCCCTGTGTCGTGCAGCAGAGCAGAATACCCTGCTAATCCCTAAATCCCTGTTCCTACACGGTAAGCACAGCAGTCCCACTCGAATCTTGGCCGCGCTTTCATTTTTTGAAGACCCAACATCAAGTCTCAGTTAGACAGGTATCGGCGGCCTCTGCTGTACGTCAGTGCTCAAGTCCGGGGCGAAGGCTCCCAAAATAGCCATCCTTGCAGAGATAAAGAACACTGAACACTTTTCTGTAGAGTTTGGGCTTATATTAGTCTCAGGGCTGGCTTTCCCAGTTACTTCAAAAGAAAGGTGATGTTTCCCCATTTTTCGGTGCAGGGTTGTTTCTTGGAGTGCCCAACCCCCCCCCCCCCCCCCCCAAAGTATCCCCGGACAATGCCTGGAGTGCCCCACCCCAGAGGTCCTACGCCCACAAATTCCAAATCCGTAGGGTGAGGATGCTCAAATGTTGGGCTAGAGGGGGTTTAGACTAAGTTAAGACGGGATCCTAACAGCAAATGAGGGCACTCCTGGGCATCCTAGCCTAAACCCTAAACCCTAAACCCTTCTTTCCATCTGCGCTGGGAGGGGATGCCAGAACAAAGACAGAATGCACGGCTTGATTAGCAAACCCTAAACCCTAAGCCCTAATTCGACTATGAGGTTTCATGGTTTTCGGGTTTAGGCTGCTATCGGGCCTAGGGTTGATGTAGTGCTCGGGTCCTTTTTCGTTTTTCTATTCTCTACTCTCTTTCTCTCACTCTCTCTCTCTTCCTTCCTTCCTTCCTTCCTTCCTTCCTGCGCACTCAGTCCCCGGAGGGACCGACCAAAAGGGCGTGCTCCACAGAAGTTAGTCGGTGTGTGATACAAGATGTGTGCACCGTGAGGGGACTCCAAAAGACTCCACTCTCTCTCTTCCTTCCTTCCGGCGCTCATGACCCTCCCCCCGACCCAAAGGAAAGAGGGCCGCCCGAGGGCGAGCGCTGCAGGTCGGTGTGTGGCACACTCCCCCACCCCATGTGTGTTAAAAAGATTTTCTCTCTCTCTCTCTCTCTCCTCTTCTTCTTCTTCTTCTTCTTCTTCTACGGGGCTTGAAGGGCGTCACCGCTCTCTCTCTCTCTGTCTCTCTCTTTCTTGGGGCATGGGGGTCGCCCCCCCCCGCGCACTTCGCGCGCCTCAACGATTTTTGTGGAGGTTGGAGTGACATGGGGTGCGCTGTGGCACCTGTGTGTTCGCCCCCAAGAACAGCTGGAGACCTTAGTATCACCTGAGTGGGGTACAAAACGTCACCACCACGGTTGTCAACCTTTCCTACAGACCCCCCAGGCCCTGCCTCATCCCCCAACGAAATCCGACCTATGCAGTCACTGCCTTGACCTTCCACTTCTTTTTTTTTTTTTTCTCTCTCTCTCTCTCTCTCTGCGCATGTATGCCAGCATCCAAACCATCATCGTCTCAGGAGGAGAACTGATCACATCCATGGCAGAGCCATGGGCAAGCCGGAAAATTGAAGTCGAAATCTTGGGGAAAACCATGTAAACTCTAAGCCCGTCAACGCCGAAACTACACGTTCAGCAAAGAGACATCAAGATCAGAGCGATGCTGATAACGGAATCGAAGCCGTTTAGGGCAGGGAGCTTCCATGGCCACGAGATGAGCCTTAGATGTTTTGGGGTTGAGAAGGTTTCGGATTTCACAAGGTTTAGGGGCTTAGTTTGGGGTGTTTAGGGCTTCATGTGCAAGAATCCCTGTTTACTTGTCACATTGTGCTAAGCCCTTGTCGCCTACCAACCCCTCCGTAAACCCTCTTCTTATTCTGATTCTAAACGTCTGGGCCCACAGGAAACACTGAGCAGGCCATCGATTTCGGGGCTCCTAACTCTCAACTTAAACCCTTTTGCAACGGGCTTTTGGGGGTGTCCGCCCGGCTTGAAGGAGCAAGCGCCCAGCCCAATGTACTGCTGACACCAAGCCGAGTGCAGCTACTCCAAACTTTGCATCTTTGACTGACTACACTAGTAAGTACCGACCTCCTTGAACACTCTATCGGAGAGCTGATGCAACTCAGGATGATGAGCCTCCAGAACCCAGTCCTGGAGGTGTATATCTATGAGGAATCCACCCTAATGCACCCTAAACCCTAAAAGTAAAACCCTAAACCCTACAGTAAACCCTAAACCCTAAACGTATGGACCCCAAACTGCCAGCACTTTTTGATCTTCATAATCACCACACTAAATTTCAGGCTGCAATTCCCCCATGAGCCCTCTGGCACCCTCTCAACCCCAAAGCCCTGAACTAGGAGTCCCAAAAGGGGGTTTAGGGTTTAGGGTTTAGGGTTCCAGCGTTGGTGCAACACATGCCTGAGATCCACTCAAGCCTATGAGGTGCTGAAGCCTAAGAGGTCCTTGGGATTGAGATTGCCAAAGCAGTTTAGGGTTTAGGGTTTGTAGGGCTGGGATTTAGGGTTTTAGAATCGGCCATGGGGCTGCACATACATGTATCCCAGCATGACGGACACGATAAGGAGCATCTTCCAGGGGGTGATGTTGGGTCGACTTCTGAGGACATTGTTGTCGCATGTTGCAGAGTCGACTGGATTGAAGTTGAGGAATCTACGAACCCTAAATAAGACTATCACCATCGCTACAACACTTATAACCCCACTGACAAGTAAGTACCCAATGTACCCATGAACCTCCAAGTAGGGTTTAGGGTGTTTCGGGTCGTCCCGAAACGACGCAGGGACCAGGGGCTTAGGGTACAAAGTTGCCATAAAACTCACGAAGGTGGGCAGGGTTCAGGTTCTTGTTTTTGGCCACCTGCCAAGGGTTTGGGGTTTTGGTGTTTTGGGACTTAGGGTTTAGGGCACAAGGGAAAGCTGGGGAGTACAGCAGAGAGTGCCACGCAGACGAGCCGTTGCAGACAGCTCAGAACCAGTGAGCCGTCTAGCACACAGTGTTCCGGGCTGTGGGGGAAGACAGCACTTCCCTTTGTTAAGCTCGAGGTTGCTTTGCATAAACCTTTTGTTGAACTCAGGCTCTTGTCCTAAACCCTAACCCTATAAACCGATAAACCCTATAAGCCTTATAAGCCCTATAAGCACCGAACCTCTGAACCTCTTTTGCATCCAGGACTTTGGCAGACAACGCCTAACCCTATACTCTCCTGCATGGAAACTCCCAGAAGTGTTTTTGACAATGCTCTGTATGCTAATATAAATTTCGGCCTGAGATGCTATGTTAGTGTTTGGCCGGTAGGCCAGAGTAGATGGCAACTCGCCCAGTGCTCCCAGCCTTTTGAGGTCTTGCCCGAGGAAAACCTGCAGAATACCCTAAAACCTGCAACCCCCAAAAGGGTCAAAAACAGCACGTTCGAGGCAAGTTTGTATAGCTTCTCACAGACAGAGACCCACGGCAGCACACACCCGCAGACCAACAAAACAGGCGATTGGACAACTTTTAGGGCAGGCTATAGAGGGCAGCCCTCACTTGCCTTAAAGCCTCTTCCCTGGCCTGAGCCCTAAATGGGGTTTAACACCGACGCCCGCCTGCACATAGGGACTGTCGCCCGCGGCAACGATGGACAGCGACAACAACAGGCCGCGAGGCAGCCTTAGCCGCGATCAGGCTTGCCGAAGGCCTTAACGACGAACCCACAAAGAAGTGGATCATACATCCAACCCTCTGCCCTAAACCCTAAACCCTACTAAACGCAACTTAAGGGTGCTTTTTTGCCAGGGGAGAGCTTTCGGGTTTCAGGGTCGGAAAACCCAAGCCGTTTTGGGGCCGAAGCTAATCTAGCGGGTGCCGTCTGTTCAGTCCGTTAGGCATGGAACCGGGCCGTCGTAAAGGTTGGGCTCCTTTGGGCTATGACCCAGAAAGCCATGGTCTTTAAAATCCCCTCAAACCTTTGCTGCCGCCCTACTCACAGAAAGCTCAGAAGCTCACCCAAAGTGGCACTTCAAGATCCCAACTGCCAGTTTGGTGTAAGCGCTGGAATGCCACAAGGTGTGGCAGCTAAAGCATCCCTGCCAGAAGCCTAGTGCCGAGGCGCATGAAGGTTCCAAACCACCAGACGTCCGTACGGAAGCGGAAAAGCAAAAATCGCGTGGCGGCGAGAAACCTTGGATTAGTAAACAAGGAAGAAGGCGTCATGTCTTCCTAGCATTTCCATGCATGTCCAATTGGTTGGTAGGCAGCAACACCTAAACCAGATTAGTCGGTCAGCTTGTAGAGGGAGCTTACACGTAAAGCGCGGAAAGTTCAGGCATTGATTACGGGGACGAGGGGGGGACAGAACGTGAGAACTGGGGTGACCAGCAACTGATAACCAAAGGAACTCACGAAGTCTTAAGCTGACACCTTAGGAGGAGTCTACGGTGCGTTTACTTCAAAGGTCTGGTTGTGTGCGTGTGCGGGGGCGTGGGCGTGGGCGTGTCTCTGTCTCTGTCTCTGTGTGTTTGTGCGCGTGCGTGCGTGCGAGCGTGCGTGTCTGTGCGCGCGCTTGCTCGCAATTACTGAGCACTGGAATGCATTCCCCCAGCAAGCTGGGAGCATGTCCTTGGCGCCGTTGGGTTTGCAAGACATGGCAGTCGCTGGTAAAGGCGTGCTAGACTTGATCTCAGCTCGTCGTCCGGGCGCTGCGAACAATCCGAAGCATGATTGAAACTTCTACACGGAAAGTTAATTCTTGCTTGTGGGCATGCGAGACCAAGGACTCTTGCCACCGTGAGGCTGCGTTGTGCATTTTCGTGGCGGAAGGAACTTCGGAAGCATTCGAGCCGGGAGGAGAATTTCCCTTGAGTTCTCTTGGGTCACGGGGTCTCCTCCTGAAGAGCCTGGCCTCTGATCAGACATCCTTCTCAGGACTCCCGAAGAGTGGAGGACTCTACCGCTACCATCGTGACGTCCATCGTGCCTTTTCTCAAGGAAGCCGGCAGCTGCTAGACTATGCTAGACACCGCCGTCCTCGAGACCCTCCCAAAGTAGTTCGCCTCGGCTTCCTGCCGAGAAGCGTCTGGAACAAGCAGACCCGAATCGGGGGGGTCTTTAGAGGGGGGCGCCCCAAAACATGCGGATTTGGCACCCTTGGTGGGATCCCCCTGAAACCCCTGGCACCTCCCTGCAACGCCCCCGCGGCCCCAAAACCGGCCCTGTTGCCCCTCCCCCCCCCGAAAACCCTCCCGCTTCCTGACCAGAAACCCTCTTTCCTCCTTTTCTGTCCGTGGGCCAACCCGGCTGCCGAGGCGGCGAGCGTTCACAAAGAGAAAAGGAGCTGTTTTGGGTATGGAACCCAGGGGTAGGGGAGTACTGGCTTAACCACTAAACCCCACAACATGCTTCTGACACCCTTGACAAAACGCTTTGTGACGAGTAGCCAGCCATCGCCTGCAGCTGCTTTCTTCGGCGCCACAACGGTGGCCCAAATTGCTAAGCTGTAGAAGCAGATCCTTGGCTTGATCATATAGACTTTTATCAAATATTCATAATATTTTTGATTATGAAGGTTTGCTGGGGTTTTTGGGATTGAAGTTTATGGTTTTAGGTTGTAGGTGTACCTTGGCTTCTTCAACTTGGACGACCCCCATAAAATGCATGAGGTGGACATGATGATGAAGAATGAAGAAGAAGATGATGATGAAAATGAGATGTGAAAATATGTGATGAAAGAATGAAGATGGTGTGGTGTTGACCCTAGAGGCCGGAGGCCGAAACCCCTCAACCAACCTTTTCCTACTTTTTTTGGGGGCATCTTGTGGACTTCGCATATAAGAAATGCAAAGGACACTTCACCCTAGTAAGCTCCAAGCACGCAAAAACCACGAAAGCAAGAACTTGCCTCTGGGTTCAGGAATGAATTCTGGCGCTCAAGGAACCCTTTCCACAGCAGGCCAAAGGAAACCCTGCAAACCCCAAAAACCCCCCAACCCCCCTAATCTCACATCCTCGACCTGCACGAGCATCATCCCGGCGAGGAGGAGGATTCCGACCAGGAACCTTCGGCACATGGGCTAAAGGTTTGTAGTTTAAGGGTTTAGGGCCGTTTAGGGGTTTAGGGTTGGAGTTTAGGGTCTAGGAGTCGGGGAAGTTCTCCAAAATAGGGCTCCTTGTTGGGCCCCCTATAGCACGGCACTGTTTCGATGCGGACCCCCCAAAAAGAACCCTATTTTAGAGAACTGCCCATTAGAGATGTTGAGAGGTAAGGGCTCAGGGTAACTCCTTCGTTTTGTCAAGGCGGAACGGCTGCCTCGCGAACGGCTGGCAGTTTCTTCGCTTCCGTCCTTGCCTTATAAACCCTAAGTCCTCAACCCGAAACCATCCCATAAAATCGAAAGCTGCGCACCAACAAACGGCAACACCCCTTGAGGAAATGGGCTCTAAATTATTCCAATAACAAGAGGGATCCCAATGTGATGAAAGAACGCCCCTGAGCAAGGGGAAGTGGAATAACCCTAAACCCTGATCTGCCGCAAAAGGGGAGCTTCCTGGTCTCTGGTAACTACTTGTTAACCCTACACTTAGGGGCTAGGTTGTCTAGGGTGCAGGGTTTAGTGTTTAGGGATCTTTTTGGGGGTTTATAACACTCAAAAAAGGGTGAAAAGAACGTTGCCACTTCAACAGCTAAGTAACCCACAAATCTCACAAACCCAAAACAATAAGCAGCACATGCTCCAGGCTCAGCAAAGAAACGGCGACTCGAGCTGCTTGGGGCTAGGGTTTAGGATGGTTTAGGGTTTGGGGCTTACAAGGATTTTAGGGTTTAGGGTTTAGGTGGTTTCTGAATTTCGTCTCTTGGAGGCGGGTGGGGGCGGGGGAGGGGCTGCACAGCATTAAAGGCGCATCATTACACAACTAGGCTGCTTACGCATGCACAGCCCGGACTTACGGAAGTGTGCGGCCGATGGGCATGGGTGTGTGCTCTTCACTCTCGAAGCAGAAGATGCCATTGTGCTCAAGCATGCCGCTCTTGCCATTCGGGTGGGTGTAGCACATCATGGGCGACAGCGAGATCTTGCTGTAGATGGTGAAGGTGACCTGGACAGGCCCCCTGAACCGTTTTGCAAGTAGTTCCTGCCCCTGACAAACAACAACAATACATCCAGAAAAACCGTGTAGATCAATTGCATCTTGCAATAGATTCGGCCATGTACTTGTGGCTTCATGCTAGGCGGAGGAGATTTGTCTGTAGTCTGCTAGAGGCCTGGCGCATTCGGGTTTCAAGCCCTACCGGTTTAAGGCAAGGGTTTAGGGTTGCTGGACCTGGATGAACTGGCCCATGGTGGAGATGAGCTTGCCGCTCTCGAAACGCCAACGTGTTGGCAAAAGGCGGCTCAGGAAATGGCAGATGAACCTGCTTGAGCTATGCAGGAGCCCTACCCAAAAAGCCTACATGCGTCTTGATGCAGAAAAACCGGTGTTCAGGGAACCGTCACAAGACTGAACAGCAACTACCTGCGAACATTCCGCAAGTCTACCTGTAGCCTGGCGGGTTCATCCCTCCCTTGCCCCACTTTTTGATGCCTCAAGGGGGTGTCCACCCTTTTGGGGGTCTCCAGAAAGGGCATTATACTTCAATTGGGGAAGAAAAGGGGTAGACATCAATTTAGGCAAATATACGTAAGGTGTGTGCATACCCTGAACCAGGGACGTTAGTCAGCAGTCCTGAAGTGCCTTCTCGAGCCCTGCTTCAGCGACTGAAAAAGGTGACTTCTGTGACCCTGAAGCCCAAAACTCCATTAAGGTTTAGGGCTTATCTCAAACAAGTAAAAAAGACAAGTCTAAGTTGACCCTGCTTGCAAACTGGAACCCTGAAAAACCCTCAGCCCTAAGAAGATGAGGAGCAGCCACACTAGAGCGCATGGCAGCATGGCAGAAGTCATCATGTAGCCGGACACTGGTGAGCTCGAGACGCAATCGAACCCAACGGCCTGTGAGAGGCTTAGGTTTTAAGCCTTCGGGTTTAGGGCTCAGAGGCTTTGTAAAAAGGGTTTATAGGGGAACGAATCCGCGAACAACTCGGGAAGAAGAGAACAATAACACTTGACAAGCTGGAGTTTAGGCATCCGACTTTTTCTCGGAAACAATTTGCCAGAGAGCCCCCAAGATTGGCGATCAAGGAAACAAATCAAGAAGGCCAGACCCGCAGTCTCCACAGGCTGATGCGCGGATATTTTTGGTCGCAGTGATATAAAACCCTAAACCCTAAACTCCCCAATTAATTCCACGAAAGCTCTGTCGAAAAAAAGGAAAGAAAACAAGGAGCTGAGAACTGCATCTGGGAAGATGCAACCCCTAAACCCGAAACCGGAAGACCCTCGCCCTCGCTTGAAGGGCGGCGAAGCCGGTCCTGCAAGTCGAGAGTGAAGACGCTCATGAGATCGAACATCCACTGAAGCCTTTCGCGGATTAGTGACTCGTGGATTGGGGGTGTCCGAAAGTCCGAAAGTAAGGGAACCCTTGTTGGGGCTCCTATCATAAGGATGTGATTCGAGGATTTATTTTGGGGTACCTGTGTTTCGACGCACGGTTGATTTCATGAGTCTTCGTGCTCCTCCAAAATTCGGATATTTATAGGTGTCTCAAGGTGTGACAGGGAGAGAGCGGTTTACCCATCATAATACTGGTGTCTTCCTCATGATCCTAATAACATTAGATAACCAAGCGAGCAAAGTGGAAAACAAAACTGTCCGGATAACATGGAAATGCTGCCAAAGACCCCCTTAATGCAACCCCGAAAGGCCCCTCACAATAGGCAAATCTGCAAACTAGTGCACGAGTTTAGCGTGCTTTTTGGGCTCTTTTCCCGTGCCCGCAGAGTTGGACCGTTGACCATCCATGAGAAGACACCAAAACACTATTCTCAGGCGATGCCCCAGACCTTCCTCACCATTCATATGCTTAATTCGTCGGGTTTTGAAGGCTTCGTCTAGTTCTGGGCTTGCAAAGAGGATCACACACGAGTAGAAAGCGCGGGCACTTCTCCTCCAGAACTAATCCTGGGTTGGTGACTTTACAGAGAAGCTAGACCCAGGAGCAACCTAGGAATAAAAGGGTACCGTTTTTTGGTTTAAAGTGGCTCTTACGGGAGCCGAAGCCCCAACAAAAAGGAAATCTGGGCCTACTCTCACTCTGGGTCCTAGGAAGGACCCTGGCCAAAGGATTCGATTATTTCCCTGCCGCAGCTGAGCAGCGAACCGCTTGAGGGTTCAGGGTTTATGGCATAGGGCTAAAGTAGAATCCAAAAAACATGTGAGCCCCAGGCTTGCTCACCTAGATGGTCCATCCCCATTCTCTCCTTCAAGCGGAAAAATCTGTCAGGGCTCCGATTCTGGGCATTTCCCAAAATAGGGGTACTCCGAATATGCCCCCCAAACATAGGATGACCCTTACCATAGGAACGCAATATATAATAGTAACAAGGTCACAACGCCTTGAACCCTAAATCGCCTATCTCCCCTGTGGTTTCAGCCAAGCAGCTCAGACGGCCACGAGAACGATATGTAGCCCACGATTCCAACATTCCTGGAACCAAGGGACACAAGAACCTTTTTTGGGGGGATACAAATGGGTGTGGGCTGTAATTTGGGTCTGGCCATGCGGGTGAAACTGTAGGAGGAAACTTGCAACACTGCGATGCCACATGATGGGACAATCAGAGCTTTATTAGCATCTCAAGACCCCTCCCAAAACCCAACTGAAGCTTTTTTGGTTTTTTGCCACATACGGTTGTTTTGCTTAGTGTGGTGCCTACGTAGGCTCAAAGCTTCGGAGAGCTTGTTGAATTCTTCTCTCAGCCTACGGCAAAGGAATTTGTTCCACCTAAATGAAGGGGGCTGAGAATGGCTGAGAGAGCTGAAAGCCCTCCGGGCCCTCTCAAAAGGAATTTGTCCCACCTATATGAAGGGCTGCGAGAACTCTAAAAAACAACTGTGCCCTAAGGCATATATAAGAAGCATCGAACCCGAAACACCTAAGTAAAAGCCCTAAACCCTGCTACGTACACGGAGTACATGCATCCTTCGGGAGAGGACACAGTGGAACAGAAAAGCTCTCACCGCATGTCGGCTCAGGGCGTCCATTTGTGATAATCAGTGTTCACCACAGGGCATAGGGCTAGGCAGACTAGCCACCGCAAAATGGCACTTCGGGACAACAAACGATTTGGAAAGCAACGCTAGTAGACACGGAAGGACAAGCGATTACAACGATTCAGGGCTTTAGGTTGCAGCTTTACAGGGAACCAGCTTCTTGGAGGAAAAAGCCCTTAAAAAACTATGCCGGCGTAGACCCCAAACAGTGAGGAGGGCCAGAAGCATCGAAACGCAACGGAATTTGCGCGAAACCACAGCGGGAGCGTCGAAACGAAGGCCCCGCCTCACCGCGCGCGCCGTTGCGGCACGCAACCTAAGGCCGGAATGCGCGCGAAACCACAGCGGGAGCATCGAAACGCAACGGAATTCGCGCGGAACCACAGCGGGAGCGTCGAAACGAAGGCCCCGCCCTGTATCTAAGTGGCCCCCCCCAGAAGAAGCCAGAAGAGGCCGGAATTCGCGCGAAATCACAGCGTGAGCGTCGAAACGCAACGGAATTCGCGCGAAACCACAGCGGGAGCGTCGAAACGAAGGCCCCGCCCCACCGCCGCGCGCGCCGTTGCGGCACGTAACCAATTCCTTTACCCTCAACGTAAGAACCCCATGTTGCAAGCACTGTTTGGGGAATAAAAATATCCTCCTTATAATAACACCCTCTATAAGCTCGAAAGCTCTCTGAGCCCGAGGCTGCACCATGCTAATGGTCATGGCCAGCGCGCAGGAGGTTGCCAGCATCGTGGTGGCTTTGGCAGTCTGCCTGGCTTTGGGAATCATCTGCCCGAAGCCCGAAACCCTAAACCCTAAACCCGCTTTGGGCCTGGCTTTTCTTTTGGGGGTGCAAGAGGTTGCTGGACTGCACATGAAGCCAGTCTACTGATGGCCTACATTCCGGCCAAGGGCCAGACCCTAAACCCTAAACCCCAAACCCTAAAAGCTAACCCCTAAAGCCTGCAACTTCGAAACCCCAAACCAACCCTGAACCCTAAACCCCTTTTTTAATACTGGGCTCCGGACAATCTAAACCCTAAATCCTAAACCCTAAGCCAACCGAGCTGCCTCATATTCATCATGTAGTAGAGCGTGGGGACGGCTGCCATGCCGAAGAGGGCAGCAAAAATCCATCCCACCAAGCTGAATGGCCTTAGCCGACTCCTAACCCAGCTGTTTTTGCCCGTGCTGTTGGTGTTGTATATACTCTTGCTAGGCTACATGGGGGGCTTATGCCATTTCAGAAAAACATGTACTCAGCACACTCCGGGAGGCGTGCATTCCGCGCAGCCGTCGGTGTCCCAGGACTTGCCATCTGGGCAGTGAGTGCATGGTACCCCGATAAGTTCATCGGCACACGTGCCTGGCAAACCACCTGGACAAGTCTCACCGGGAAGACACTTGTACACACTGAAAGGGGAAGTCGCCTCACTGAAATATCCGCTCACGATTTCGGCGGTGCGACTGCCATTGCATATTAGCCCCTCTCCACAGCCGATGCACGTGCCCTCTTCATAGCGAGAGGTGCCAGGGCACACTATGCATTGCCCCTGGTACAAATGGCCCTGGCACTGACATGCGTCCTCCGTAATGGCGGCAGAGAACCCAGTAGTGCGCCCTGGCGGACATTCCTCACACTCTGCCAGGCCTTTCTGTGGCCCATATCGACCCAAGGGGCACGTGTCACAAGCTGTGGAGGAAGTGTCGTTTGCATAGAACCCTGGGGTGCACGACTCGCAGCTATCTGCGCCGAGGACATTGCTGTAGCTTCCGGCGCTGCATGGGCGGCAGCTTGCCATGCTGCTGTCATTGGCGTACGTGCCCACATCACACGGCTGGCACTCCGCCATGCCTGCTGCGGCAAAACGGCCCGGTGCACAAGCAACGCAGCCAAGCTGCACTGAGAAAACGGATCCCGGATAGCATTGGCTTATGCGGTCTGCAGGTACCCATGCGTCGTCCAAGTTGCACTGCTCGGTGCTGCAGGGCACCCTCTAGCTGCTGTCGCTGGGGCTCCAGATCAGATCCCTCAACCATGTGAACCCATCACTTGTCCACAGACCCAACTGGACGAACTCGTTCCCGAGCCCACCTTGGGTTTGACGGATTAGCTGCACACCATCACGGTCACCGTACGAGGGTGGGACGGTGGTCGGCTCAATGCTGTTGAATTGGCGTACCCGACCTGTCAACCCCATGTAGTCCATGTGCACGGACAAGTTGAACAAGGCCTGCTGAGCTCCTACCGTCCCAACAGATTCCAGGGAATTGTTCTGCTCGATCAGGTAGGTGTGAAACATGCCGGCCAAATGCCACAGCGAATCGTAGAAGTAGCCCGTGAACAAATCATCACAAGCACCTTGTCCATTTGCAAACTGTTGACATCGAAGGTGGTACTCCTCCGGGGTCGACATAGATGACACAAGTCGCTACACCCTGGCTCAGAGGGTTTCCCAGCACACCTCAAGAAACAAAGCTCTTACACTGAAGTTGTAGCTCGGACACATCGGAGATGTCTGACAGCACGCGGCCCGACAAACCATGCACTGCACTGGTACTCCTTTTGGACTCAAGGCATCCCAATCGGGTTTAGGGAGGTTCGTGGTTCCATGTCTTTGAAGGGGCGCAGTAAAGCCTATAGTTAGGGATGTGTAAGGTATATGCTCCCCCTAAAAATTTTGAAAACAGACTGAGGGTCGTGCCGGAATGCTGCCAAGAGCCCCACCTTAAACCTATTGCAATTTTGCCCGAACCCCCTACAAGTAGCTCTAAACCCTACAAGCCCAAGCCCCAGCCCTCACCCCCAAAGCCCATCATCTTTTCGGCCCCAAGGCGCCGGATGGGCGATCTGCCGATGATCATTAGCCCACCATACACCCTCAAGAGCTGCTCCGCAGTGCATGGGCATTCCTCAGATAACCCTAAACCCTAAGAAGGATTAGGTCTTTCCTTGCCACCCGCACTGCTGACTTAGGGTTTTCCCACACGTCAGCAGTTATGGAGCTCCGTCTCCAATTTGGAAACCCTTTGGGGGGGGGATGATTTGAGAATTGTACATGTACCTTAAGAACCCAAAACCTACTTTTTGTAGGTTCCCTAAGAATCCCACAAGGGATATCGTTACAATAACCTACCAAAATTTATCAGGTGTGCCAGGTATGCACTCAAACCAGAATTCATCGCAGTCGGCAGCCACGTCCGAAGACGGCTTTGCGGGCTTTGCGGCGTTGCGCCGCACTGGGTGCAGAACCCGAAGCCCCAAAAGGTCCCTCACACCTTAGCCCTAAAAGGCCCTAAACCCTAGTTAGGACAAACCATAAACCCTAGCAGAGTACGCGAGTGGACGCCGTTTCCACCCACAATGGAAGGGTTCCATTCTTGTTCACCGCCACGCTGAGCTACAAAAGAACATGTCCGATTTGCCGGGGGAAACTGTGTTCAGGAACTATAGGATTGCTGAGGATCACTTAGCGGATTTAAGGCATACCATAGTGGATTTAAGGCATACCATTAGCAGGTTCACCAAGACTTCTAAGTCAAGATGCTGGCCTTCCTGCCCATGTGGTCGGCAGTCCGTCCACCCAGTTCCCGAATGCGGCCACAAACCACACATAGTCCTCTTCTGCTTCAAAGGTTTGATATAGGGTATAGGGTCTAGGAGGATTTTTCAGATGCTTGGTTCAGGGTTTCGGCTTTAGGGTAGTCCTCTCCCGCTCAGCGTGCTGGGTTCCCTGAAAAAAAAAGAACAGCAAGTTTCTTTCTTCTGCGAAGAATGCTGTAGAAGGGATCCCCCCCCCAAGGTTTTCGGCTTTTTAGCTAAAGTGCTGTCCCAGGTTGTCATTTTTGGCAACAGCGGTTCAAGCGTAAGGTTTGACAGATCTTGGGGTGTAACCCTGGTAGGGGATGAAGGCTTCATTTGGGGGTAAGGGTGCAATTTGGGTTTGGGCCTTTCCTGAATTCTTGAACCCAGACTCAGCCACCTTGTTGCAAACCCTGCCCGAAGCAACCTTACGTCTTGTCAACCAGCATCAGGGTTAGCCTTTAACCCCTTTGAAAAAGAATATATATATATACATATATAAAGTCCCCCCCAAACAAAAACAAAAAAAAAAACCTACGGATATTACACTTTCCAATGCACGCAAGCCTAGCTTCAGCGAGTGAGTGGTGGCGTGCCATGTAATTATATGGTAGTATGTATCAAATGGTGAAGGATTCACATCCCTTTGACTTCTTAATATTCATTCTTTTTATACTGTGTGTTCGCTTCATATGTATGAGTTGGTATTTAATCTGCGTACTCAATCTTGGTTGGATAGGGTTTTTTGTCAGACAACATATTAATTATAATCTATATATATATACATATGTATATAGGGTTCCTTATAACCCAAAATCAAGAACATAGAACATATCCCACAAGCCAACCTAGGAATGTAGACAGAATCTAAGATACTGCATAAACTCATAAACCAAACCATGAAGGACACCTGGCTTTTGAATAAATAAATAAAGATTATATATATATATATATATGTATCCTTTCGTTTCGTTCGAGGTAGACCGAAAGCCCTCATCACGAAATCACATGCAGCGCTAGGGTTCAGGGTATTTCAGGCGCTCAAGATGGGGGTGTAGGGCGTAGGGCTCATGTTTGGGTGTCTTTGGCTTGTGCTTCGGGCTTTCGGGTTGATGTGCAGGGCTTCGAACTCAAATTCCCCCCCCCCCCCCCCTTCTCCCCAAAGTGTAAAGCAAGCACCGCGTGTCCGGAGGGAGCATGTTCCGCAAGTAGAACTGGCACAGCATCCACATGCCGGTGAACTCCTGAGAGAGGATGCAGGCCTAACTAGAACCGCCCCAAAACCCTAAACCCTTCAAATCCCCGACCACGAACTTTCGGGAAACCCGATAAACCCAGAATTATACGCACGTGCACAGGGTAGGTTTGCTGTGGAGATGGTCGGTTGCAAGACCGGCAAGCAATAGCAAGTCTGAAGCATTGCTGCCCTGCCATGACCATGAGGATCAACTTCTGTCTCCATGCTTCCAAAGTATCATCATTACAATATACCAACAACAGTCCTTATGCCTACACCCTAGACCCAATAGCAGTCCTTATGCCTACACCCTAGACACTCAAGGTTTAGGGTTTAGGGTTCGCCGTAAACGGCCCCAACAGGCTCTGGGTTTTGCTTCGACAGTTCTGGCAGGCTCTGTGCCGACGAGCCCTTCTCATGGCCAGTTATCGTGATTCAAAAACCGGATTTTAGGGTCTAGGGTTTAGCGTGGAAGCAGATGCTGTCATCCTACAACTGGGGACACCGGAATCTCGCAGCCTGGGCGGTTCTTGCAATCGTGCCTCTACCTCAAACCAGGGTTTTTATGGTTTAGGGCTGAGGGTACTTGCAAATTTGTGGCTTCAGGCTCTTTCGCGCCTCCGCCCCAAGCACTGTAACCAAGCTCTTCCCGCAAGCTCCGGACCCTGGCCCTGCTGGTTCTTAGTAGGACGTGTTTTCTTTTGCCATCCTAGCAGACTAGAAGTCGCACTGCAGGGAAAAGGATTTAGGGCTAGGGCTCCTATAGAGTGCCTGAAAGGGTTTATATACTTACATGTCGGGGGATATAAAGTAGCTAATTCTCTCATTCTCTACTACGGACCAGTAACCAGTAGGTAACCATACACGTCCCAAGACTCCGGAAGCACCATGAGGTTGATCTTCGAGTCGCGTGCGAGAACCTCCTGGAACAGTGGCTTAGGGTTTAACAGTTTAACATGCCTCGCCAACCTATCGTGAACACCGGTGTCGAATCAGATCGGTGATCGGATGGATCGGGTCGGTCTAGCTTTGCCTGGCGAATTTGGTGGCATAGGAGGGCAGAGCACCCCCTCCCCCCTCCCACTTCAAACCCTAAACCCCTATCACCAAAGTTCCTCATGTTGCTTGTCCGGAGTGAAAACGCCAAGATGTCAAGCCGTTTTTTTTGCCATGCTCTGTTCAACTGTTTCTTCGAAAATGCCACAGCCCCTCGCAGCTTTCTCAGCGAGAGACGACCACTTGGTGGTGGGGGGGGGGGGGTTCTAGAAGAGCGCTGTGCCAAGCTTGATGACATCATCTCTAAACTGGAGATATGATATTCACTTGTGCCTTGCTTCTTGGCGTCATCACCATACTTGAGATAAACCCACGTATGTTGATTTAAAACATCAGCTGCTTCACTTATATGGACCGGATTGACTCTCCAAGTCCGCGTCAACCCTAACCCTAAACCTTGAACCTTGGGATGTTCTCCCTTGTACTATCAGTCCTTAATAGGGATTATCATAGGGGTACTATAAACCCGATTAAGGACTGTTAGTATAAGGGGGAACATCCCAAGTTGAACCCCTTTTGAGGGGAGCCCCACTTCTCTGCCTTTTAAGTGCCCGCCAGGGGTAGGTCCGGGTAGGTTCGGTGTGGCTGGGAACTTGTCTGTTTGCGTTAAATCGAGCAGCGCCCTACTCAACTCCAATCAACTCAGAACCCAAATCCCCGAATATTAAAAAACCAACTAGGGTTTAGGGTCTAGGGCTTAGCCCAAGAAGGTATTTGATTCCAAAGCGCTCAACTCAACCCCAACACTTTTGCACACCCTGAACCCGAACCCTAAACCCTAAACTCTAAGCCCAATTGATGTATGTGAAGAGGGTGAATGGAGTCCTCCGCTGTGCTGATGACGGCTTCCATATTCTGCACATTTCTGTTGAGCAAGATCCTCGGGAGGGGGTTTAGGATTTAAGGTTTAGGGGCCCTAAACCCTAAACCGTTTGAGGGGAAAGGGCTGGCTTCGGACGGCCAGTTCACAAGTGTCGTGAAGAGGCACGATGGCGCCGCAGAGAAAGTTAAATTCCTACAAGGAAATCCCCGAAGTCACATCTCCAAGTTTCGGAACAAACCCTCAACCCTAAATACCCATAGCCATAGCTTTCAGCTCTCAGAGGTGGTGGTGGGTCTTGATTTTCGGTGCAGGAAGGGGGGCAAGCAGTTTGCAGCAAAAAGGTTTAAGGGCCTCTCTCGCTCGTAGAAGCCTAAGAAACCCTAAACCCTAAACAGTCTCTAAGGTTCCCTTAGGCATAGTTCACCGTAAGTCCTAAGCCCTCTCCTCCCGAAAAATTTGACCTGGGGCACGTCCAGTCATAGGTGCCGGCGTCGATGTCCCGCTGTACAAGCTCGAGAAATGCGGCCTGTCCCCTAAACCCTAAACCCTAAATCCCTAAAGCCCTAAATCCTTTTTTGTTTCCTAAAATCCCCAAACCATCTCTAAATCCTAAACCCCAATTCCCTAAATCCCGCAACCCTAAACCCTACATCCCCAAACCCTAAACCCTAAACCAACAATTGCAGTTCTAAAGGTCCTTGCAAGGGATGGACCATGGGACAAGAGCCCTGTAATCAAAATAGTCTTTCCCTGCTTGAAAGACCTTAGGGTTTAGGGATTTAGGTTGAGGGTTTAGGGTCAGCCAATTGCCCACCTATCGCAGATGACAAGCCACAAAGCACAAATTTCGCGCACTGCTCAAGTGACAAGCTTTTGCCACCCTCCTTTGGAGTCTTCATCTAGCCACAGCACGGCTGACTCACTGAACCCTAAACTAAACCCTAGACCCTAAACCCAGGCCTTGGCACCAGTTGTGTAGACGGGGCCATCCATGGCCCCAACACGCTTGAAGCCGAACCTCTGGTGTTCCAGTCTTAGGTTTTTTTTTTTTTTTTTTTTGGGGGGGGGGGGTGGATTGGGTTTAGAAGTTTTGGGGTTTAGCGGTTTAGGGGTTTGGAGGTTTGGGGTTTTCTAGTTTTTGGGGTTTGGGGGTTTAGGGTTTTGGAGGGTTTAGTGTTGGGGGGGTTTGGGGTTTTGGAGGTTTAGGCATTTGGGGTTTAGGTGTTAAGGTTCAGGGCTCTGGGGTTTTAGGCTCTGGGGCTTTAGGGAATTAGGTTTGAGGGTCTTGCGGTTGTGGCATTTCAGGGTTCTAGAGTCTCAGGGTTTGGGGGGCTTCGGGCTCTGGGTCTTTTGGGCCTTTGGCTTTGAGGAAGGGTTCAGAGGTTGGAGATGGAGATCCCCAGCCCTTGAGGCTTACATGGCCCCTAAGCCCTGAACCCTGAACCCTGAACCCTAAACCCTCTCCAAGAGACTTCGCCCGCCTCGATAACATCCCCTCTGAGCCAAGGCCGCTCTGCAAGCCCCCCCGTACTCGTGACAGCAAGGCCCCCAATCCCCCTGCACTCTTGACAGAAGGACTAGAGCAGGCGACTCAGCTTCTCGGCCCACGTTTCAGGAATGACACTATAGAGTATGAGAAAGTTGAAAGATCTAAAGGTACTCTCATGAAACCGAACTAGCTCACTATAGAAGCACTGTTGCATCCAATCTTGCAGATGAACGTCAATCACAAGGCCCTCAAATTCCAACTGAATCCAAAGCAGCCAAATCTGTAAAACCTCTTGGATCTGTCCCAATCTTGTAAACTCCTGCAACCCGTACTCCTCATCAATCCACATGACCGTCCACCCAGCTGATGCCACGCACACATGAACTGCTAGGCGCCATGGAGTGTGAAGCCTCACTGTATCTCTCCAATTCGAAGCCGTTGCGGGGTTGAAAATTGGGTGGTGATATGCGTATTTGTCAAGGATATCAGCTGTGTAAGATGTCCACGCCTCCCTGTCCCGAGCTCTATCACTAAGCTGCTGGGCATCAACATTGAGGCAGCTCATTCCCCACGCATGCAGATGGCGCCACGGACCCGGAGCTGCCTGTTTGGTGTTAGACAGCGCCAGTAAATCAACACGTGTTACGTTGCCCTCAGGGAATCTCAACACATGTCCCAGGTACCCCCAGCGTCGCTTGACCCAAATGTGCACCCATTGACAGGCAACGAACCAATTGAGCAACACCAGCACCGCGCGCCGCCTAGTTCTATTCAAGGAAGCTGCTGCCGGAGGACCAAAGGAACTGGGGACACACAAGCCAAGCATGAGGGTGAGGAAAGTCACCTGCAGACTCCTGACTTGCACCAGGTATTTCTGTAGGGGCTCCATAACCGGCGAGTACCAGAACCATGTGGCCCCGAGGTATTGATTGCACAGTTGTATTGTTTTCCTAGGACAGCACCAGTGACCCCTCCTCAATGCTTGTTTGAGCGACTCAAACGCCACATGGGTGGCTCGTCCCAGGGATTCAAGCATCACGGCGGTGGAATCTGCAAATCCCACCTGAGTTGCCTGAGCCCCCGTTTCAAAATGTGTGAGCCTCTTCTTCAAGTACAGGCACTCTGTTCCCCAGGACAGGTCTCGCAGAAAACAGCTCGGCGGGAACACAAAGTCGGCTCCTGCCCTGAGAACGGACTCGTGGGACATTACCTTCGTCTTGGAAGAGTTTAGCGCAAGACCCAAGGATGCCAAAAACTCAATGAGCTGACTCACGAGCCTAGATGCTTGACTCCAGTCCTTAAAGGTGGCTAAAATATCATCCACAAATAAAAGAAAGAAGGACGAGTGTTGACATTCTTCTCCATCCGAGCTCCATTTCTCCTCCAAATACTGCACTGCCCTCCCCAAGACATAGCTAAAAACCACTGCGCTGTGAGAGCCCCCTTGTTGCAATCCACAAACTTGGTCAACCTTCCATTCTCTAGAAAGCCACTGAAATTCCAAGGAAGGATGGAGGATGAGTTGCAGGAGTTGCCACGACTCGTGCAGGCGATCTCTTGGCGACTGTTCCAGCAGGAAGCGCGCCACCGCGGATTGACGAAGACTGTCAAAGGCTGCAGAGATATCGCAGGACAAGTAGATATTGTATTGGCGAGTCTTGGATTCCTTCGTCACTCTCGCCTGGGCTGAAGACAAAGCGTCGCACACTTGGCTCCCCTTGACTCCACCTTTCTGGAGTCGAGGAGTACTCCAACCAGGCTGCAAGCGAGCCACTAATAACCACGAATACAGTTTGTGAAGAGCTTCGATGAGGTTTATAGGACGGTAGTCCTTTGGGCTGAGAATCTCTTTGGCCTTGGGAAGGAGAGCCACATGAGCCTGATAGAAGTCCTGTGGCAACGCGGGCGATTTCAAGAGCTGGTTGAGGACACAGAGGAGAAGATCTTTGCCTGAGTCTATCCCCCAGAGTCCTGAAAGGTATTCATTAGACATCCCCGACGGCCCCGTGACCTTGGAGCGCTTGAGGCGGTCAACTCCCTTCTGCACCTCCGCAACCGAAAACTCTTGGCAGTGTGACTGCTGCGCTTGCTCTCGGAAGGTCTGCAGGCAGGCCTCCAAGTCTGCATCATCCGCAGGTTCACGTTTAGAGAAAAGGGCCTCATAGTGTTCCTGAACCCGCTGACCAGCTTGTGTGGCACCACCAGAATTGGAGAGGAAGGAATGAATACTACCTTGTACTGGAAGATTTCTCTGTCGAAGATACCGAATAGCCCCCGTGTCGCCCTGTCTACTCCGTTCATAGAGCTGTTGCACCCACATGGTTCGTTCGATATGACGTAATGACAATATGCGTCTTGTCAGGGTTGCTCGATCTTCCATGCTAACAGTGATCCTGCGTCGGTGGCAGAGGTCCTTCAGGGTATCGCTATCACGGTATTTGAGCGAAGGCGCAGGTCTAGAGACTTGTGTTGAATGCTGCTTGAGAACCTCCCACTGACCAGTGATATCCAGACCTTGTACTTTGTCAAGAACTTGCGGGGTAGTAGTCTCCACGAGGCTAGGATCAACTGACCATCGTCTGCACTTGTTGCGCGTGCGTCGCACCCTTGCAGGCTTCACTACACACGCCCTGGGATCGTGGAAGGACACCTCACATGTAACGCAGCAATGATCGCTACCGAGTTCAATCCGGGAATGTTGCAAAGCCTTGGTGTCTATTGCTGCTGCTTCAGGGAGGACAATCTGTTGAAATGCCTTGTTGAAGGCCGTGTAGTCAAGCTCTGACTGGGATACGTGACCAAAGCGGGTGGCCATGCCCGTTCTGACGATCTTGCCGCCCCTGGTGCTGAAGCAAGCATCAAGCATGACCCCCCTTTCAGTCCCCGGCTCACAATTAAAATCTCCCATAAAAATGATAGGTGTGTCTTGGTGGTCCACTAAAAACTGTACCAACTGTCTGAGGGACTCCTCGAACTCTTCAATGGGTCTCGCTTGATGGGGGAGGTGACACGAAACTATACATATGCGATGCTGGGTGCCTGACAGGACGACCTCTGCTGCAATGAATCTTTCACCCCTCCACGCATTGCTGATAAGTTCAACATTGTCTTTGTGAAGGAGGATCACTTGTCCCAAATGAGCAGAGGTTGCTGTCGTTCCCACCACATAAAAACTGCGAAGTTCCCCTGGCTCTTGAAGTGAATATTCAAAGACCCCTTCCTCGAACTCCTTAAGAGTGGAAAGACTCTGAAGTTGGCCCACTTCTTGGAGGCAAAAAATATCCATGCATTCGCCGGTCTCATTATACCAGTTATTAAAGTGCGCAAGCCCTTTACCCTGTAGGTTCCAGCAAGCGAAACAAACAATACCCTGGCTGTACCCAGAATACTTAGCAGCTGTCACTTCAGGCTGGGGAGTCGGTCAGGCTGACTGAATTGCGGCCTCCACCGCCTCCGGCTGAGTGGAGGTGCACGATGCCAGGCCAGTCACATTGAAGAAGAACGTGGATCTTTCTCCATAGTCATCTGTAGTGGCACGGCTGCAAATCTTGTCGGTGGGCTGGCAGTGTAGGCTGGCGAGGTTCGCTGCCACAACCCTGCAGGATCCTATCCACATGATTTGACGGGTCCAGTCTATGTCTTCAATCGCCACCGGACCTCCCTTTATCTTCTCAAGCATCTGCCGTATCGTGCGTGTTGCCCTGTTTCGCTTTCTCTGCTCAGCAGATTTCTCAGCAGACATCCAGGCTTCATCAGTGTTGGTGGAGAGCATGTGCCCGAAGTTGGCCTTCAACTGGAAGAACCGTTCACGTGCTTGATCTACGGGGAGCGGCCGGAGGCACACCATGCCTGTTCTGGCTCTCTGCCCAAAAACCGTCGTTCTCTGAACTGAGCTTCTAGACACAGGGTCCCATAATGAAATCGCCTTGGCAATCTCTAGCTCGATCAATTTTCGCGGCGTGTCTTTCGCAAAGCAAGGATCACGTTGTTGTAATTGGTACCCTGTGCCTCCGCAGAGCCGGGTCCCGAGCCTGTATCGCTGAAGGCATTTGGCTGCGGCTGTGGTTGCTGGCGCTGTAGCGGAGGTGGCTGAGCTGGACTGGAGGCATTCGTAGCTGGCCTAGCTGGATGTGGGGCATTCGCAGCAGGCTTGTAATTACTCCATGCGTCTGAGCCCGTCGCCGAGGAACTCGCAAAGGTTGCCCTTGCCCAAGGATCTGGAGGAGGCACTGCTTGAAAGTTTTCACCTCTCTGCTTGGAAATCTGTTCTATCCTTCCAGCAAGATCATCCAGTCTTTTGTTCACTTCGGTCATCTCAGCTTGTCGGGTTGAGCTCTCTTGCTGCAGCCTGCCCTCAAATGACTCCCTCATCGTTTCCCCTAAGCTCTGCATCTCTCCTGCCAAGGAAAGTCGGAGAATTTCCACCCAAGCAGGAGCTTCATCCGGGTCTCTAGCAACCAAACGCCTGTCTGCCCCGGGAGGGGGGGATTCGTGTTTTCGCTTGGACGGACTGGTCTCACCGCCTCCCAGGCTCAGTGCATCCTCTTGGGTCTCCATGGCCTTTTAGATCTACTCGGAATCCCTGAAAGCCTGAGCCGACACCCTTGAGCCAAAATGGCTTGAACCCTAAACCCTAAACCCTGAACCCTAAACCCTAAATGGTGCGTAGGTACGTGGGGTTTTGAGGCTGGGGCAAGGCGTGGACTATGGGAGCCGTGGCTTGGGCCGCTTTGATGCTTCAGGAGGGGTTTCGGGTTTAGGGTCGTAAACCCTAAACCCTAAACCCTAAACCCTAAACCCTAAACCCTAAACCCTAAACCCTAAACCCTAAACCCTAAACCCTAAACCCTAAACCCTACACGAAACCTAGGCTTCCAAGTCTTCAAGGCAGAGGAGACAGGTGCGGAAACTGGACCAAACAAGTCGCATCTTCATGATCTCATAGACCGGCCGGACCTCGAGGGTCCAGTTCGGGTTTAGGGTTTAGGGTTTAGGGTTTAGGGTTTAGGGTTTAGGGTTTAGGGCTTAGGGTTTGGGGTTTAGGGTCTAGGGTCCCAGGAGGCTGGACTTTGTAGGATTCATTATGTGGTCACTTCTCTGCAAGATTTTCTTGGGGGTTACTAAGGCGGCCCCTGTTTAGCGTACCTGTAACTCTAACCCCTAACCCCTAACCCCTAAACCCTAAACCCTAAACCCTGCTCATGCAGTCCTTGAAGCGGTCTGAAGGCGTCATACGCGTAAGATACGGGTATCGAGTCCGGTCGCTGAGGTGCGGGTTTTCACATCCAGGTGACACCTGCGGGCACGGATGGCCTAGTAACAGTTTAGGTAGGTTTTTTGTTTTACGTTTTAGAGCTTGGGTTTATGGGTTTAGGGTTAGGGTTTAGTGTTTAGGATGCCGTACAGAGTCTAAAGCTAAGAGGAGGCAAAGCAATGGGTATTTGGCCGGCATGCCACGTTGGATATATTCCCTGGCTACTGCGCGACGAGTTGTTCACGGCGGCATGACGAGCATCACATGTACTAGGATGGCCCTTAAAACCCTCTGAAAGAATTTGGGAAAATACAAAATATCTGAGGACCATTACATACCTTTGTCTAATGTATGAGATGCATCGATCTTAAAGGCTGGTTTCGGCAGGGCCGCGCAGAAGTATGGTACTTGTATCATCCTGGCACCTGCTGCGCGTGCCAAAAAAACCGCCCCTGACTGAAGCTGGGAATCCGAATCACCATGGACATGGCGAACATTTGTTCACGTGGCATATGGACATCAGAAGCCCGAGCATGGCTAAAGACCACCACCCAAACCGGCAAAAAACGCCAGACCCTGGAGCCAACGAAGCCCCAAAGCGCTGGACCCTGGATTTGGGTCTTCGGGTCGTGCTTGTAGGTTTGAGGGTCTTTTGGGATTAGGGTTTTCATCCTCCAAAGTTCTCCCATATGCCGCTGAATTGCGCTCAGGACTTTGAAGAGGCGCGCGGCGTCGCTGATCGCGGAACAAGCGGTGCTGCACACACAGCCAAGAATGGCGTGTTTCCTGACGTTTGTTCTTAAGGTTTCGGGCTTGGGGTCGAAGTTATAGGAAATCATCTGTACCCCAAGTAGCTGGCACAAAGGGGTTTAGGCGGTTTAGGGTTTAGGGCTGGTAGGGTCCCGCCATGTTGGAAGCCCGGATTCACTGATCAACTTTAGCGCCAAGCGACCAAAAAAAGCTGAAACAAACATAGAGATCATGTTGGGCATCTTCCAGTCTTCACATGGTTTAGGGTTCAGGGCTTAAGGTTCAAGACTAGGTGTTTTATTTGCCACCTGCCAGGCAGAACAGCCGCACTGCAGGGCAACAAGTTGAACATCCCATAAACCGTAAACCCTAACGGGCTTAGGGCTCAAAACGCTGCACTATGTGGTCGAGAATCTTAGGTCCACGAGTGAAGGCTTCGACTGTTGCCTCTGTTCCCAGCGCCTGCGCCATGGAGACGATTCATGGCTTCGAGTCTTGAGATTTTTGGTACAGCTATGTGGGGATGATGAAGGAATTGTCTTGGCACCTATAGGCACTGGAAGTAGCAGGCTGCGTAGCAGTTTCTTGTAACACAGCTCGGTTAAAGCTCGCGCTCTCAGCGCGTGCAGTCGGCAGATGCTCCGGACGACGCAATACCCCAACATCTCCCCCCTCCATCCCCCTCCATCCCCCTCCTAGATCCCAGGCCCAAGCCTTTGGGACGTTTACACTTTTGAGCTTCGAATCTGGGAGCCTTTGACCGATAGCCCTACAAGCACCATCAACAGCCCTCCACGGGATCTGCGAGAGGAACTTTGGCTGAGAGGAGTGGTTTCGGTGGCACAATCAGTCTGAGATTCAGTGGTTTAAGGTCTGCGTTTTTTGCGGTTTATAATCCTAACCCTGCCCTAAACCCTAAACCCTAAGCCCTAAGCCCTAAACCCTAAACCCTAAACCCTACACCCTAAACCCTAAACGCCAACTTGGCCTCTTCGCACCCCGAGTCCGTGAGGTGGACGTTGACGCGGTAGCCGGGCAGAAAGTTGCTGTCCTCGCATGATATTCGGGTTTAGGGTTTAGGGTTTAGGGTGTGGAGGTTTTTAAGAAAATAGGGTGGTGAAGGGCAAGGACTTATGATCTTCTTGGCTCAAGATGGGCCATGCGCCTGGTAGAAAAAGTTGAACCGTGCTGTTCGGGGTTGGGGCTGGTTCCTAGCTGCTTAGGCATAGGTCCCCCGTACTCCCCTTCCGGTTCTTCTGATCCGTGTTGTTTGGTGTGGTTCGGTCTGGGTAATTCATCTAGGGCAGCTGGTGAGGGCGACTTTTTCTTTGGTTCCCTGATCCCTTTGGTTGCCCCCCGTATAGGGTTTAGGGCTTTAGGGCCCTTTTGGGAGGGTATTCATAAGGTGGCCCCTAAAATATTTAGGGTACCCAAAAAGGGACCATAATGTAGAGAACTGACCATCTGATATTCGGTGTATATTGCTGTTGTCGGCGGGTACATTTTGGGCTCCTTATAAAAATCTTGGCGAGTGAATATACTGGGTGTCCTTTTGGGGATACAAGGACCAAAAAACCCTCCTTCACATGAAACGGTTCCTACCTGCGACTCTAGTTACCTCGGGTTTAGGGTTTAGGGTGTTTAGGGCTTCATTCACACCCTCAACCCTAAACCCTAACCCTTTACAAGTACGGGTAAGTAGGGTGTCAGGTAAACCCGACAGGCCCTGTTCAGGTGAAACGCACGTCGGGGGAGGTTCGGTTTTTTGGGATTAAGCAAGCCATTGGTACATATAGGGTTGAAGGTGAAAGCAACCTAAAAGACCCTAAAGCCTAAACCCTCAGCCCTATGCCCTAAACTGGGATGGCCCCTTCAAATCCTTTGTAAAAGGCTCCTAAACAGAAAATAAACATATCAATAAACTATCCCAAGTGCCTAATTATCGAATAAAGCGCCCACATATAAGGTGCCTCATGGGGGGGGGGGGGGGGGGGTTTACTTCAGAAAGGGGATTCAGGTAAGCACAGGAAGTGCGGTCCTCAATCTCCTGAGCTGCCATGGCTAGAAGTGGTTCGGTCTCGGTCATCTTGTCACCGAGGCTTCCGTGGTAGGGGGCGATGACCTGCGTTGAAATCTTCTTCAAAAGCCTAGACCTAAAACCAATGCACAACTCACGCTGAGACCCGCTGTGGATATCGCATGTCTGGGCGCTTCTGGAGCAAGTGGGCACATGAAGCGCGTACAGCGGTTCACTCGCGCAGTGCCCAGTGCCACAAAACTACGGCATCTTCATCTGCTTTCTACAAGGCCCTGCAGCCCAACCGTTTTTAGTGCATGTTGGGGCAACTGAGAAAGATCAATGCCGCATTCCGACGTATGCGTTCACATGTGTCCTGGGTCCTTTCTCTCCGACTTTGAAGTTCAGATCTGGGGGTAAAGGCTCTCTACTTAGATTCAGAGTTCATATGCGCCAAGCTGCCGCAATGTTGATATCCTGAACGCTCACCCGGTTCGGGCTGCTGACCACATCGACGGTGCAATTGCCATCCTTGTAGTATCCTGATAAGTTGGAAAGCCCTCGGAATGCTTATCATATAAGACACAAGCTTAACACGGGAATTGTCGGTTTGCGCGTTCTGGTTGTTTAGGGGGCCTGGCGCGAACATGAACTGATCAATTTGCGGTTGTCCGTCAACTCCGGCTGACTCACGAACAGGTTTTTTCTTGCATTCATCCTCATCGCTCTCAGCTGACGATGTCCGAGCGATTCCGGGCGTTTCCGGATCACCCGGAACAACCGCCCGGAAGTACTCGGACTTATGCCTTCCGCGTTCCAAGAGCTT